CTTCCCTCCACTAAGAAACTGAGGACTCGGCAGCAATAACAATATCTGTCTTCTTTTCCCATTTTTCTTTTTAACAATCTCGGTCTCAGTCTCTTTGATATAAATCATAATTGTCTGAGCAATTTGAAGCATTGTAACAAAAAACTAATCTGTAAAGGGTATTTTTTGGTAGTCACAAACCCAGGAAGATACAAGAAATGACATAGTCACTGCTGTGTTTGTATGGCTTTTTTAAATATAGAGTATTTTTCCCACAATCAAGTCTGTGTTGAGCGATAAAGTTAGCTGTAAGAGCACAAGAAGTACAGATAAGCCATGGGAGTACCTACAAATGGTCAAGAAGAAGGTATTTACTGCGTGCAGTATCCAACAGTCCCTAGTTTTCATTCTAGGCTCTCCTGACAGGCAGAGGAGAACATGTGCAAGTTGAGCGGATCACCTGTGGCAGAGCATGTAAGAACTCCCTGTTTATGTATGTGCTGTGTTTTGGATTCTGAAATCTCCTGCAACACAGCATTCACATGTGCTTGGGATGACCAAAAGTCACCCCACTGACCCTTCCTGAACCCCAGGAGTAACAGGGCTAGGTCCAACATGAGCATATTTGACAGTGGTGTGTCATACTTTCTTGATAAATACGACTTCTAGAGAGGGTCCAGAGTAGAGTGACAAAGATGATTAAGGGACTGGAGCATCTATCTTATGAGGAAAGACTAGGAGAGTTAGGCCTGTTTAGCCTAGAGAAGACAGAGAGGAGATCTGATCAGTATGTACAAGTACCTAAGGGGTGAATGTAGGGAGGATGGGGCTAAACTCTTCTCAGTGGAGGCCGGTGACAGGACAAAGGGTAATGGGTACAAGTTGAAACACAGGAAGTTCTGTGTCCATGTGACGAAGAACTTCTTTACTGGAACACGCTGCCCAGAGAGGATGTGGAGTGTCCTTCACTGGAGATCTTCCAAATCCACCTGGATGCGACCCCGTGCCACGCGCTCTAGGTGACCCTGCTGGAGCAGGGGAGCTAGACTAGATGATCTCTAGAGGTCCCTTCCAACCTCAGCCATTGTGTGATTCTGTGATGGTGGCAAAATTATATTACCTTGTTTTATACTGTTTTGCTCAGAAAAAGAAATGGTTTATAGTTTTGTCACTGCATGTCTCTTCTCAAATAAATTATTTACTCTAGAGCCTCCTAATCATAAAGCAACAGACAAATGCAAGTCAAGTATCTCCTGGGAAACCTTAGGTCAGTTGCACATGCAGTAATAATTCCAGCAAGGTGAAGTATTGAAATGAAGGGGAAGGCACTGGTCTGTGTTTACACAGGAAACCTCTGAGCAATCTGGATTTTTATGAAAAGAATTCATTGCTATTCGTTGCTTTCTTTCCTGAATAGGGGTGGAGACACTTTGACTCAGGTTAAGGGAACCCTTAGGGGTGTATTTCTTAGCAAGAAGATCAAACCAATATTGTGAACTCGTATTTGAAATTAAGACATTTGAGATCATGTTCTAATATCACCACACTGTTGAGTAAACATACTAACTGTCATTTCATATATGAATACATATATACTTCTGTGCTTGCTTCTGTTTTAGACATTCAGGTCAGTACCACTAGGTGTCAGCAGTAATCAATAGCTGCAAAATGCCTACTCTTGTGAAAACGTGTTTTTGTTTTGTTTTTGGGGGTTTTTTGTTTGTTTGTTCGTTTTGTTTTTCATAAGCTAGAATTGGATGTTAAATCTGGCAGGATCGTTTTCAGTCTCAGTGAAATCCAGCAAAAGGCATGATGCTTGATTGTGCAGGATTTTTTACCGTGGTCTCTCTTTACATCTTTTTTACATGTACTGAACAGGATTGATTTGGTCTTGATGTCCCTGTCTATCAGTATGGGCATTGCTTTGAGCAAAGCCATTCCAGCAAAGAGTAATGGTCATCCAGTGGATTGCTTGAAGCCTGAAAGAAGAAGAGTGGCCATGGGATATACGTATCTCCTTGCTGCTGCAACACTTGCTGCTGCTCCAAAGGAGCATTTCAGCAGTCGAAAACAGAAATCTTCAGTTCTGCCCTTGCTCTCCTGTGTGTGAAGGCAATGGCATATAGCTAGCTGTCTCCTCGCTGCAGACTTCCCCAGGGAATCATCAGCAGGACCATTCAGGAAATAGTTCCTGGCTCTTTCAAAACAGAAAAGGCAGCAGGTCTCACTCAATATTTCTTAACTCTTTAGGCCCAAAATGGATTTTCCTTCTAGGAATGAGTAGTTTGGGCTACTCTTGCCAGCAGAAAAGGGAAGGAGAGAAGCTGGCCTGGAAAGCCATAGTGAGACAGCCCCAGAGAGTGGCTCACGATGCTCCCGGTGTCACAATATGGGCGAAAGACCCAGATGTCTGTACCAAAATCCCAGAGTGGCAGAGTGTATGCAGTAGCACTATGGTCTTCCAGGCTGCCCTCAGAAGCACTCTCTTGTAGACAGTAACCCACCCCTCCTTGGCCAGGGCAACTATCACTAGCACTGCTGCGATGTACTACTGTTGCGACTACAGAATATCACAGCTAATAGAATTTGAACAATCCCTCCAGCAACACATCAACAATGGAGAAAAACAATCCCACTGGTAATTATGTATCCGTCAAAGAAGAAATATTCTAGTCATGAAACATTTCTCTAGGAATAGGTTTTCAAAAGCAGGTCCAGTACCATATTCGAAACATTCCAAATCAGGACAAATGAAACCCCCAGACTGAAGATATTCATATTTTCTACTTTGTGATAACACTGCTGCTGTTTTTGTGACAATTTTGTGAAGTTTTGATTGATACAGATTTTTCTGTTTGATTTTAGGTCTTATCAACATTCCGGCTGTGGCCTTTGGAATATTCTCAGGAGGACTGATCATGAAAAAGTTCAGAATCAATGTCCTGGGAGCTGCAAAACTTTCCTTGGGATCATCTTTCTTTGGTTACCTTTTGCTCCTTTCATTATTTGCAATGGGCTGTGAGAACTCAGATGTGGCTGGGCTAACTGTGTCCTATCATGGGTATGTTGGAAAGCGCAAAATTCAGCACAAGTTTCTATTTCAAAGCAAACTCCTTCCTTATTTTATCCCACAAGGAATATATTTTTGAACAGAGAATAAGTGACCTAAATATGCTTCTTAAGAATTTAATTCAAAGAAGTGGAAACCATTCCATCTATTCCAGTGGGCATTGTGTCAAAATCCTTTTGTGATTGTCTTCAGTTTTGAGGGCTTTTTGCCATGAGTGCCAATTATTTTTCTGATTACTTTTTAATTAGTATTGCCATGGGACCCATCCTTTGAACCTACAAATTCCTGGAAATCTGAGTTGCTCAGTAGGGGGGTATTATTTGATTAATTGCTTCTTGCCTCTGTGTGCTGCTGAACAACCCAACGCAGGTAATAGCTTCTGAACTCCAAACTTAAGGAAATAAAGATTAACCATGGGCACAGAGGTAGACTTGAAGCTGACATTTTTTGGTCATGTTGCTCTACAAAGCTCTTTCTATGGAGGGACCTGCCATCTCTGATTGCACTACAGCCCCAGGATTAGCTCATATGTTGACTTCAGCAAGTGCTGGCAGAGAGTGTGTAGGCATCAGCCCTTTAGCTTGGGTGAATCCCATTCTGGTCATTTCCCTACCAAATTCTCCAGCAATGATTCCCCATGTGTAAATCATCTTTGCAACTGGAGTAATCAAACTTTCGCCCAGGTTTGCTTTAACCTCATCAAGCCTTCAACAATTAAAATAATAGAAAATACATAAAAGGAAATTTCTAGCTGTCCTGCGTAGGAAAATAATTACTATCTCATAGTAGACATAAGAAATAGTGAATTATTTTTGATAAAGGAGAAAAAAAAATTCTTCTGTGAAAATGAAAAGAGACATCTCCTTAACGGCCTAAAAATACAAGGCTAAACTCAGCTGCATCTGGCAGAAAGCATAACCCATGATTTGATTATTATTTCTTTCACATCTGCTAGAAAGCATCACCCATTTTCTCTTTTTTTACAGAACCAAACAGATAACTCATTATGAGCAAGGTCTGTTTGCAGAGTGTAACTCAGGCTGCATATGTTCCAAAAATGACTGGGATCCTATATGTGGGGAAAATGGAATTACCTACATTTCTGCTTGTCTTGCCGGATGTCAGGCATCCAACGGAAGTGGAAAAAGCACTGTAAGAGATTCTTCTATTTCTGTATATGATGTTATACTTTTCCCAATATCACCAGTTCTGTCACAGTAAATGAATTAAAATTGAGTAAGGTTAATCCTCCACAACCATAAATGGCTGAGGTTTATAGCAATGTGCCACCCACGTTTAAAATTTTCTTAAGTTCTGCTTCCAGTAGAAATCCCAACTGGATAATGCAGAAGAATTTTTTAGCTGTTATTATTAATACTATTAAAACACGCATACACATGCTAATTACTGGCATCAAAAGTCAATATTTCCTTTAGCTAATTCTACTTCATCATCAACAACAACAAGACTTGTTTCCTGTTGTAAAGCATTTTTTGCATTATGGAATTAAACTTCTAGCTACCCAGAAAAACATAATGGGAAATAGATGTAAATGTACACTTTTTTCTGTTCTGGTTATCGTACTCTTTCACCTACTGTTTTCCAGGTATTTTATAACTGCAGCTGTGTGGGAATTTTAGAATCTTCTTCAAGAAGCTCCTCAGCCGTGGTGGGACCATGCCAAAAAGGAAAGGAATGTCCAAAAATGTTTCTGTATTTTCTGGTAGTATCAGTTATCACTTCATATACTTTGTCAGTAGGTGGCACACCTGGATACATACTACTTCTAAGGTAAACAATCATTTCTTTTAGCATTGCCAATTGTTTTCAAGGTTCTCCGACACTTGTGACCAGGTTTTCCTTCCTAATATTCTGTGATATATTTCCATCTTTTCAAGGTGAATTTTAAAATACTTTGTTAGTACTAAAAGGCCCCCTCCAAACCTGGTAATGTATTTTCTACCTATCTCTGCCTTCTTTACATTTCTTTACATTGGTTGTAAATATAATACAAGTCTGATTATAATTTATATCAAATTCCACTCACCTTAATACATTTTACATTACCAGAATGGTGAGGAATTGCCTTCACGTGAATAGAAATTAGCTCTACATATGCCTGTGTGCATATGTGCGTACTCGTAGGTAGCGAGTTTTCCTCACTTGCAATGGATGCCAATTTGCAGGCATATAGAAGCGACCTAACATAAACCCCAAAATGCTATATGTATTCAGATCTTCTTATTGGGTCCATTATATTTTTTCTATACATTTGCTACTTTAAAGATTTCTCTTTTCAGAATAAAGTTAGATTTTTCATGAGATGTTTTTGCTATTGTAACAATTGTGATTTATCCCATTCGTCCTGTGAGATTCTTCCACTACTTATTTAAATGCTGGAAGTATTTGTCCAATAGCAAGTGTAAGCTTTTAAGCTAGTTTTAGAAAGTGAAAACAGAATATAACACTTCCAATGCATAATCTGGATTTTTGTCAACTTTTGGATTCTAAGTACTACTCCACACGCTTTTGAAAAGCTTTCTTTTTCAGTTCCTTTTTCCAAATTATTTCCACATGGGTATATGCTACTTCTCAAATGAAATAACAGTAAATATGGAATTAAGCCTCATAGTTGCTATGTTTTCTTACCCTAAAATTCTCTTTACTTTTGAATGAAATATTCTGGAACAGGTCCTGTCCCATTGCCAGTGTCTTTACAACACACAGAAAAAGGCAGTGCTAGAACTGGCTGAACATATGCTATATGGTAAAAACAAAGAAAGAAAGAAATGCAACTCCAGCTGTGATTCCAGCACAGTACTTGAATTAGAAATAATGTTCACAAAAAGACTTAGAGAAATGGGTGAAGTCCTTCCCTGTTGCCCTCCACAAGGAGGGCTAGAAAAGTGCATGTCTTAAGCGAGGTGAGCTGGGCTTAAGGCTGAGCTGGGCTACAATCTCCTTCCCTTTTACCCCCATGTGTCATGTCTCCTTTTGGTCCACAAAATACACGGTAGGAAAAGCACACACATGCTGTGCTTAACTGTGTCGTGACTCCACTGGACCGTGTTTGTGGAGGAGATGCTCTTAACTGGAGACCTGCAAGCTTAAGGCATATGGGGCTGCCTGGACTTCACAGCCCTGAGCGCTTGTTCTCCAGGGACTCGTTGCTTAGCAGATTTATTTGGCGAAGATTAGAGAGGTTTTCCATAAAGATCTTTAAGCATTTTGTGTATGGAATCAAAGAGAAGACTTCATTGGTTCTATTCCTGTACCTTTCATTCCCGTTGAAAATTATGCTACTTTGAGAGCAGTCAAATTGAAATTGAGAAGCTATGTGCTCCTCAGCTGGAATAAAGGCACCAGAATCTGTTCCACAGCTAAATAAAACATATTTTAATACATTACATCACTTTTTTTTTTTATCTGCAAATGAGCTGAGGGCAAAATTCCATTTTAAACTCATGCTCATTTCTTTGAAATCCATCAATGACTGGCTTTGCCTGAAAATCTGTCTGAACAAAAAGGATGCTTTTTTCCCCAGAAAGAGAATACATGCTCTTTGAAAGCAAGTACCCCCAATGCCAAATCTCAGATTGCTTTTAAGCAATTTTTTGTCATTATTTCTTTGAAAATTTTTTAGTTCAGCCAGCTCTGATAAGTTTCCATGACTTTGGCACATTGATGCTTTAACATGAGTACAGGATATCCTTGCACCTGCTGTGGAGGATGGATACAGCAAAATTCCCCAGAGCCTCAAAGATTTAGTGACATTTACTTCATGGTTTTACAAGACTAAAATCATTGAAGCATGGTTAAAGCTAGTGACTGAGTAATTTCCTGAAAAAACTCTTGAGTAGTTTTAGGCTAATAACAATTGTTAAGAATTTGGGGAAGTCCTGAAGTTTGGAGGGGTCGGAAATTACAATTTGGATTGCTGTTGTTTAAGGACAAGCAATTAATAGAAGGTAAATCAGCAGTGAAAAGGAAGTCTCAGGTCTCCCAAAAAAAGGCTTAGTTTTTCAGAGTCTCAAAGATTTTGTGGAGAGACAACACAAATACTCTTTTTTTTTTTTCCCCACCTGGAAGGGAAGATGTCTGTATTATATTCTATATGAAGAAATCCTAGCAAGATATCAACCTTGCAGAACAGATAATACGTATCCAGCTTTTGTTTAATTTTCTACTCTTTGCTTTCTATGTCCTCACAATTGGTTAAAATAACTTCCAGGCACAGACTTTCTTGTGTAGCAAGGATCTTATAGCAACAATAAAATACTCTTCCTCTGGCTTGATATTGTATTACATGCATCTTTGCAGAGACAATAACACCCATGTAAACCATAATTATAACAGATTGTATGACAAAAAAATCATGGTGGGAGCATTAGAGAATGATTCCTCAAATTGCAAAATGAGATGAGTACAAATTTTTTTCGACTGTGTCAATGCTTTAGTCTTGTTTTCCATACATGCCCTTTGTGTCCTTTTGGTCTTTTTACTAAATCAGGGGATCTCTTAGTGTTATCCTGGCAGATACATTGGAAAACAATGAATCATGTCTGGTGGGGAACCAAATAACTAGTTCGGAATTGTCTTCATAATTTTTTTTAAACAGTTTCCAGTTACATGATTTTTTGTGCAAGCTGAGTCCATCTTAATCCAGAGAACATAGAGTGTACCTCCAAAATGCTATTTTAAATTGTTAGTAACTAAGTATCAGCCTATATTTTTATATATTGAACAAAAAGTCTAATACAACAGGGAGCTTTATACATTACTGTAGTGAAATATATTTATTAGCCTCAGCATGTATCAGCCATGTGACTGGGACTACTTACATGCTTAAAAATTGACTTGAGCCAGAAGTACTCAAGAGCCGAGGCTGGGCTCACACGACAAGTTTTAAATGGTCTGTTCTGGCAAACACAGAGATTTCTCTTTACAGGAGTTATGATCCTGACCCCAAATACAGGGAAATTAACATAGTTTGCCTAAATACCTTTTAAGTTAGGTCATTATCATCACAATTTTATCAAGTGATTAATTGAATGAGATGTTTGATTTTGTGAGCCTATTTCTATCTGAAAATGAATCACCACTTAAATAGTGGTATTCAGATAAGATATTCAGAATTACTGGATGCAATTTTAATTTTATTACATTATTTACACATTTCGACAATTCTGCTGAAGTCAGCTGTATTGCAGAGGCAAAAATAGTATCTTTCCTCCCTCATGCTTTCTATGAATTCAGATTATGCAAAATCAATTTTTCATTTCTACTTAACACTTATTCCTTTATTTTTAGGTGCATTAAGCCACACCTGAAATCATTTGCACTTGGGATCTATACCCTGGCAGTAAGAGTGCTGGGTAAGTCTGGCTGGGTTTATTTTATTATAGTCCTTATTAGTCACTTAGCTCAGAAATAACCTTGCCTGTTAGGAAGAACAACTTCTAGCTGACAAGTCAATATTATATGATTAAAACCAAGTATATTTTGTAAACCTCATAGCTGTATCAGACTTACAATAAAAACGTAGACTGACAAAGTACACGGAGATGACAAAGAATCTGAATTAGTACTACAAAATTAAATATCAAAATTATTTCTTGCCTCCTCTTACCCAATAAGAAGCCAAATAGTCTGGCCTGGAGTGTTTTGGATTATTATTCAGGCATGTTCTCTTTAGGTTCTAGGGGAATTCCTGACATTAGGGTTGACCTAACCCTAACCTTAACCTTGTGGCAGAGCTGCCTGAAGGCTTTCTCTAAAAGCAAGACGACCATGAGATGCCAATGAACTGAGAGCTCAAATATCTCCTAGGTCTTATTAGAAAAGATAACAACTGGTAAAAAGCAGAGCACTTATTTAAATAGACAAAATTAGAAAATAGTGAGGCAGATGAAATGAAAACAAAGAAAGGTTTTGGTTGTTTTTTTGCAACATCTTTGCTGGCCTGGTTCTTCCCTCCATGCTTACGTGCTTTTCCAGCAGCCCTCAGTGGCTCCCTAGGTTGCACGGGGTCCATGTTGGCTCATTTCATACCCATCCTTACAGTTCATCATCCATAAGCACAGCCATACAGAAGGAACCTACTCCTTCCAGGATACTTGCAGCCCCGTTGCAAGCTCCTAGCTCTGCTGTGTCTCTCCCTTTTCAGTCCACCCCTACAAGCACTCTGGAAACAACCACCGCCTCCCTGAGCTGAACAGGCTCCATTACACTTAGGGAAGGAGAAATATCTTCCATTTCTCCAGAGGGTTCCTACAAAGAAAGTAACTGGGCCATAGTAAGCACACCTTCTGGCAACTTTAACAGGTTTTTTAACGTTCTTCTGCAGTTTATGCCCCATCCTAATTTCACACAGGATAGAAAGGTGTATGTGTGCAGGGAATGCAAGATGCAACTTCTTAAATCAGCAAAGAGTGTGAAAGTGTCATTATTTTATATTGTACATTAACATGTCTGTAGATCAGAGATGATTGCATTGTAAAATAATGTTATTGTCTCTATTTATTTGTTAAATACATCCAGCTGGAATTCCAGCCCCTGTGTATTATGGAGTGGCAATAGATACCACTTGCCTGAAATGGGGAAGCAAAAGATGTGGGGGAAGAGGAGCATGTAGACTGTATGATTCAAGGGCACTCAGGTAACAACTCTTGTCAATTAATTCCTTAAACACATTTACACACAATGGACTAGCAGGAGAATAGTAGGAGAATTTGTGTCAAATAGATTGAAAAAAAAATATCTTGAATGAAAAACTCTTAAAAGTAATAATAATAATAATGATAATATTAATGCTGAATTCCTAGACTGTCCTTTTGGCTTAGTCTTTTTCAGTAAATGTTATTGCAATTTCTGCTGAAAATATTAATGGCTTTTCATTTTTATGCCCCCAAAATCAATTTAACCCTCACTTTTCTACTAAGACTCCTCCCATTTTCTCAGCAGCTCTGCTAGGGAGAAGGTTGGAGGGAGCTGCTATATCTCACCATTTGTCCTGGATCACAAAAGGAAAGAAACATGCCTTGAAGTATGCCTTGCTTATTGAAAGGCTTAAGCTCTTTGCTGTTTTTATTGATTCAGTGCTAGAAGAGAGTAACTATGTGAATCATGTGTATCATGAAGATACATATGCCATGGTTAATGAAATAACAATGGTAAAAGGAAAACAAGAGATTAGGGAAAACTAGAGAATAGGTAAGTTGTCCACTCATCCCCCACAAAAATAAAACATGAGAAGAGGGCTCCATCCTCTTTTGAAAATTTCATCAGAGAAGAAAAGAACAAAACTCATTTTGGATTCATTATTAATAAAGTGTAATTAGACATCATCATTTTTGTTGTTGTTATCTGTCGGTAAATCAAAAATGCCATTGGTAGCGCTGATACTGCTGATGAAGCAACCAAAAAAAATGGAATTGCCCTAGAAATATTAGCATTCTCCTCACCAAAGCACATGGTGTGGAAGATTATAGTCAGTAGCTGGCACAGTTTCTTCGCCACCGTTCACACAATACCTTACCTGGGTGAATTGAGCATCTCTTGCCACCAGCCTCATCTTGATACCTTGCTTGAACTCCTTTCTCATTCAGCTTCACTACACAGAAGTATAAATGTGTCCTTTCTGCCAGGCTGCCTTCTAATTGTACATTACATTCAAGATAGGTCTGATTGATAGATCTTTTCTCTCACAGATATGTATATCTTGGACTGACTTTGGTGTTGGGCACCATGTCCATTTTCTTCAGCATTGCAGTCCTTTGGATCCTAAGGAAAAGGTCCACTCCACAAGACGAGACCATCTCAGCCAGCAGAAGAGGCACTGGTTTGACAAAGAAGAGGAAAGATAATTTTGTCAATAGTGACCATCTAATTCAGACAACTTACTGGCCAGAAAAGGAAACTAGACTTTAAGCAGATTGAGATTTTGACAGTGACTTTATCTAGTGACTGGTTTTCCAGATAAAAAATGATCATTGAAGCTCTTTCAGTGAAGTATTGTCTTAGTATTAATGCAATTTTCATTGTAAATACAAAAAAAAGCAAGCATTTTAGAATATGTATTTTTCTTAAAACACTGCTCCACATTTGTCCTACCAAGGAAGTGAAACTCAACAGGGGGTATTTGCTGAGTCTAAGGGGATGCAGCTTTCTCCCTCATTGCAAAGCAGGTTTTATGTCTGCCCCTCAGTTCCACTTCTCTAAGTCTAACTATAAGTACTACTGCTGCCCCTTGGCTTTCTTCTGTGTATGAGAGATGGTGCAGGATCAAGCTATGGAGCTCTCAGCTTTACTATCAGTCCTGCAGGGAGCTGGTGCACAAAAACTACTTTATAAATGGAACGGGCAGACAATACACAAAACTCCACCTTGCAAGAAGTCCAGCATGGGGGCAGGAGAAAGTTAGAACAACAAAGACTTCAGGTGGCCCATCCATTATACCAAAACATTTGAGCTATCAAATGCTGGGGGGTTGAGGATTTCATTTCAAGTATACTGCAGCTCTGTTATAGCACAGCATTAAGAGTAGTGAAAATTTTCATTACAACAGTCAAAGATTCCACGTGAATATCTTCCAAAGGAAATTGGCATGAAAAAAGGAGTTTTCTCTTAGCTTTCCAGTATTTTTATCTTGTAATACTTCTCATACTGAATTGTTCCATGCATTTTATGCAGTGTAATAACACCATGATATAAGACAAACGTGATTTATTTTTAAAAAAAGTATGACAAGAATTCTTGGAATAATAAAATTAATTCAAAGACTGAGTGATGTGGGGCATTTCTTTTTAATTTGTATTATTTAATTAACTGAAACAAAGACTGTCTAACAGTATCCCTCTCTAGGTAATTTTTGCAGTTTGATAATAATTGGTGTTTGATAAATTTGGGGGATGGGAGTTCAACAGAAAATTGCTTAGCATGAGGTAGTTTCAAGAATGGTCATGGATGATAGTGACTGCACTTTTATAGACAACATCCTCCAAAACAACTAGTATTTTAGAGTACTTAATGAGAGGCAAGCTTCACCATTTCATCATAATGTTGCAAAGAAACCTCACGCCACATCACCTGCATCTCGGAAATGACTGTAGATGCCCTGCTGCCTAGCTGAGCTTGTAGACTGCAGTTAGATGCTGAGTCTTCCCTGTGAGATGCAATGGAGGAATAGACATGTAAGAATGACTTTACTGAGCTATATCAATGATAAATGATTAAAGTAGATTAAAGTAGGGAACTACCTAATCTACTCACTAGAACAGATTCCTCCCCAAGGACAGGCATGATGCTTAGGTACCAAACCCTTGCAGAAGGGAAGGGTTTAAACCAGTCACTTCACAAAATATAGTTGTTGAAGGAAGGACCAATGGTTTCTGCAGCTTATGACCTAGGTGAGTTGTTAGACTTACTCTCCAACTGCCAGACCACTCTCCATCATCTTTGAAAGACCATGGAGAACAGGAGAAGTGCCTGAGGCCTGCTAGGAAGACTGCAGTCACTGAATGTCACTGCAGTCTTCAAAAAGATCAACAAGGAGGACCCAGGAAACTACAGGTCAGTCAGGCTCACCTCCATCCCTGGAAAGGTGATGGAAAGATCATCCTGGATGTCATCTCTAAGCATGTGGAGGACAAGAAGGTGACCAGGAGTAATCAGCATTGACTCACCAAGGGGAAATCATGCTTAACCAACCTTGTGGCCTTCTATGATGGAATGACTGGTGGGGTAGTTGAAGGGAGAGCAGCAGCCTTGTTTGCCTTGACTTCATCAAGACTTTCGACACTGTGTGAAATGTTGCGATTTGAAAGCCGTAGTGGTAGTGTCCAGTCTGAGTGGAGGGAAGGGGGCTCAGCCTGTCAACCGACCCAAGAGTTACGATGGTTTCTTCCCCCGCTCCTTTTCATCCTTAGTTCTCCTTTTATACTTTTCTTTACATTCAGGTGGAGCTTGAGTGACTAGAGTCATACTTAATATTGTTATTGATTGGCGAAAAAGTGTCTCGCTTTCATTTAAAGGTACAGTCAATAGAAAATCTGGAGCGCATGCTCAGTGAGGGGTGGTCGTACCTTGCAGGCGGGTAACTTTTGGGATGGAGGTGTGGGTTTCCAGCACAGGGAGTGCAACAGAGTTTGGCCGTGGTGTCTTCACCCCGCTCCATCCTCCGTTACTCCCCCTTGCAGCTGTGAGGAGGGCAGATTGTGCTGCCCAAGGAACCGTGGAGGAGCATAGCCCGTGTGCACCAGCCATCCTGGAAGTGGCAACTGTGTATCGCCCCGAGCAAGCGTCTGTAATGCCAAAACTTCTGTTAGGCCCTAGTTTTCCTCTCAGTTCCTGCTTTCAAACATTTCTTCCACACAGTGTCTCCTATACCTCCTTAGAGGTAAACTCGGGAAGCATGGACTATCTCAGTGAACAGTGAGGTGGATTGAGAAGTGGCTGAATGGCAGAGCTCAGAGGGTTGTGATCAGTGACACAGGGACACTGCTTCTCAGCAATGCTGAAAGTAGTATAGTGATAGCTCTGCACACGCCCTGGAGCAAGATGCCAAGGAAAATTCACTGGTTTTCAGACTATACAAGTGCAGCTGTTGTAGCTCTATGCTTTATGTTAGCAAACTAAAGTCTAAACATGAACAGAAACAAGGAAAAAAGCTACAGTCGAACTGCTACAGTAGTGACCACAGTAGTCAAACTGAATCAAGCCACACTGCCCGTCTCTGCAAACTGAAGGTCTGTTGCAGATTACAAGCCTTGACTCAGGCAATGTAAACTTTGGCTCATGTCAGAGACTTACATAATTTCATGTCAAAGAGAAAAGAAAAGAGAAACTAAGAGAAAAACCTCCTATTCTTCTAAGTAAGTCAGAAAGAAGCATGACAAAATATTTTGAAGCCTATGCCTGTACTTTGTGGCTAATTCTTTGAAAGCATGGCCATTACTTCCATGCTATGTCTCCAACACATATGGAGAAGAGTATTATTAAAAGATTTATTCTGGCAAGGCATTTTTTATTATGGTTTAAAAATGAGCAATCTTTTCCTCTCTCCTTTCCGCAATGATAATGCTGTAAGCTACCTTTTTCACTTTGAAATATTCTCAGGTCAACTACTGCTGTATTTTATTACTCCAGGTATTAAAGTGGATGCATGGATCAGTATCTGGCTAGAGATACGTGCCCTGGATTTGCTATAATAAATGACCAAATAAACACAGCAGTAAGGAGTTTGGACCTGTCAAGTCCTTCCTACAAGAATTCTTAAACTAAATCTATGTCTTAAACTAAATAGCTACTGGCAATGCATCCCAAAGAGTAATAAATTTAGATTTTTTTTCCCTTTTTAAAATTACACCTATTAAACTATAATTGAGAGACTGCAAAATGACACGTGGTTTTCCTTTTCAAAGGTGAGGCTGTTAAAATAATCAGCTAAGGAGATTTCCAGACCTCGGATGTCAGCACTTGAGGGCAGAGTGGAACATGTAGCCTTGTCAAGAAGCACCCATGCAATGTATGTCACGTAAAAATAATATGCATGTATCATCATCCTATAGCACATGCCTGAATTGGCACTCATTAGAGAGTATATGGGTGCCAGGTTGCGTCACATGCTGGAAACTGCAGCCAAGATCGGTCTTTGTGAGTCTGCCTGGGTTCTCTCCCAGCAAAAATGTACCTTTCCAATGGCATAAAACAGCCTCCTTTAAAGCTAGTAATTCCTGGTCAGACCAGCAGGGAAAAATGAATAATTCTAACAAATGGAGGAGGCAGAAAGTGGGGTCAATGCCCACCCAGCATTTGAGCACAAAGCAGCATCAGTATAAGATGAAGTATCTTCAGCTCTGTAGCAGTAAATCAGCTTCTCTACGCTTGTGCCACTAATAAATTGCAATACCAAATTCTGGAATCTAAGGGAATTTCCAGAGGAGAGAAAGTAAATATTGTGGAAAATACCAAACAATATATAAGCTGAGTAATGATAGTTTACTCACTTGACACGCTCAGAATAATGAATAAGATTGATGCATGAAATGATTAGTGCAATTTTTTTAAATGTCAGCATGATTATTTTCACCTGAGAGAAAACTTTGACCTTTTTATGTTTTCACCGTTTTAGTTTGTTTGACTGTTGATGACACAGTACATTTTAAATTTTAACTGACTATTAAATTCTCCATACCATTAAAAAAATATATATAGAAGCTATAAAGTGCATAGTGCATAGAATGACAAGTAGCCAATTCACAGGGCTGGTTAAAAAGTACTTGTACATAGAGCCATTATGGGGAAACCTGAGCAACATGAAAAAAAGGAGTGTTTTGTTGTTGTTTACCCAAGAAGAGCATCTGAGGACGTTAACAACGCAATGAACAGAGGTGTTGCTTCAGATGATGAATATTAGAATTATGGATTTAGAGGTTTATAGGGGTTTAAAGAATGACTGGATGAAAGGGACAAAAATCTATGGAAGGCTCCTAAAATGTAGAGGCCTGAAAGCCTCGGGCTGATAGAGCCTGAGAAATCATGGTTTTATATATATATATTACAAGGATGGCCAATAAGAACAGAGATTAAGCCTACTCAATCTAGAAAAAAATATACAACTTAAAGGAGAAGAAAATAGAGGTCTAACAAATCTTAATGGATGCAAAGTGTGGCCATCAGCTGCTCACCATTACAAGTGCTAGGGACCAAAATGTGGTGACCATGGGAGCAAGGTTCAGAACAAACAAAGGGAGTTGATTTTTCACACAGCAGATAAAGGACTCGTAAAATCGTGAAAACAATGTAGGATACAAAAATATGAACTGAAATAGTGTAGTTACACAAAATAAAACTCCATGTGGGCCACTACGTACCTGTCTTCTCCCACTCCCACCAGAGCACTGGTGCTGCTCAAGAATTCTCGTGCATTTTGAAACTAACTGGATAGTGGGAAGTGGAAGTGCATATGCATATATGCATATGATTGATACATTTGCTGACCCTTACTTTCCCTAAGCATATGCCCTTGGTTCCTGATCCTGAAGCCCTTAATGGTCCTGACCAGCCTTACCTGGGAAACTCACCTTTCCCCAGGAACCCAGGTAAGGCTGGTCACGACCATTAAGGTCTTTGGGGACTTGCCTCTTGCTGAGAAATGTTGAGGTCTGGGCTGTTCCTAAATTTCTGTTTGAATTTCCTGGGTGGTCTTTGGGCCTGTTCTTGTTGGGTGTTCACTGAAATGCTGCTGTGACCAGAGGCTCTGGCTACCCCAGCTCTGGTCACCCTTGTTGGCTGCTTGGGGCTGCATTCCATCCACAAGGGCATGGAAAACACTGGAGTTGCCTCAGCTCCTGGCTCATCCCACTTGCCAAGCAGTCCTTAGGGCTAGAGGGATGGCACATCTGACTCTGGCTGATGATTTTTCTTATGCCGTGCAGCATCTTTAATGAAGTTAGATATAAAGCAGGTCTTCACCTGGTACCAATCAGCCTGCAGAAGAAAGCAAATCCATAGATAAGATAAAAAAAAAAAAAAGAGGGAGCAATTAAGAAGGTGGGGCCATTAAAAATGCTTATTAAAATGACCTCACTTACTTAAGCAATATGTGGTTAATATTAGTAGGAGGTTGGTTAACCAATAGCTCATTGAAGATTAAGGCAGTTCATTGAATCCTGAAAAGAAGGATACAGGCTAAGCATTCAGTGGACACCAAACAGCATGTTCTCACAGCATGACAGGGACTCAGTCAGGAAAATTCCTCTTGTAGCAGTGGAGCAAGGTAAGTTTGAGCGAACAGTTGTTGTACATGAGATGTTACTAGAATCCTCTCCTGGATCCTGTGTTGTTAATGAGTTTAAAAGAAGGTGCTTGTAAATGGGATGGCTGTGGAAGTGCTATGCACTCAGGAAATATCTGTCACAGAGTGCGAGATTAATAGCACACAGAGAAAATACAGATCTTGTCCAAATCACCTGCACAGACGGGAAGATTTCTGACTGGAGAGGACTACTTAATCCTGTAGAGAAAAAAAAAAAAAGTAGAATATATTCCAGCATATGGAAGTTATATAGGACAAAATTGGCTTAGAAATAACATGCATTTTTCTCCAAGAACAACTTTCTTTGGAATCTTTGGAAACCCATTTTTTCTGTCATTTTTAGTCTTTAAATCAAGACTTCTTCATGTAAAAGATCTGCGGTAGTATAACAAGACAGAGGAACATCTTAGTGAAGCTGTGTTGTGTATTGGGCCAAACATTCAATTTCTTGAGCATAATATTTTTTCTGGCCTCAAGTGGTAATACCCCAGACTATTTGAAGGCGATGGCAATTTTCACCCTGGATTTTCACCTGAAGATTCTTGTTTTGTTTTATTTTTGTTATGCTCTATAACAAAAACATGGCTCTATATCTGAATGTATATATGCATCTATACACACCACAGGCTGCTGAATATAAAAAGGAGCTAGACAATCATAATTACAAGTTACTCTTTGTATTTTAAATGGAAAAAATACAAGCATAATTAAAACAGAACACTCCTCCCCCCCCTTTTTTTTTCCCCTAGATTACATGCATAATACAAATAATTAGCAAGATTATCTTTTTTTTAGAAATGACAAAAGCTTCACTGAGTAGTGGAAGGACCAGGTCCCAGACAACAGCTAGGATGGTGACAGTTTTTGGTAACACCAAATCAGTTTGTAAATACTCTTTCATTTCTTTGTAGCTCTCCAGCAACAAACTAGTATTAGATGCATTGAAACTGCAGCAGCAGAAAACTTTTCCTTCTCTTGAAGGAGCTACAAATACTCTGCGAATGTTTTACACACTCCCAGGACTCCTATATTCATTTAACATACCATTTGTTTTTCTTAATGCGCTAATCAACAGTTAAATTCTAAAGTCCATTGATTTCCTTTACTTAGGAAAGTAAATGTACCGAGTATAAAAGGGCTCTAATCAAAGCTGCTCACTGCAGTTGGCCTGGTCGACTGCTACTGCTCACTCACCCCTTGCAAATTGGTGCCTTGGCAGTCACTTTTTCTACCGGGAGTCTGCTGCCACCCTCTGCCCGGAGGAGTCTGCAACCATCTCCTGCTGTAAAGGTGACGCTTAGTGCGGCTACTGTAAGAATTGCTTTTATTCTCAGGAGCAATTACTGATACTTCAGTGTTCTTACTACAGGGATCTCGCTCTCACAATCCAATTATTTCCCTTGAATGCAAATTAGAGTCATATGGAAGGGGTTCGACAAAATGAAAAATGACAAGATGCCTTTTTTTTTTTTTCTCCAGATTTGGTACCATGGTCTTTCTTTTGACTTTCTCAGTACTTTGTCAGTTCCCATCCTAGTTCTTTTGGTCAATATTAAATGCTTCTGGTTCATGAAGGCCACTTTGAGTGTGAAAGCTTTCACTCATGGCTTGAATGCACAAGGCATGGGTGATAGACATTCAGACAATAATTTGAATAAAGAAAAATTGTTCTTGGCTATATAGAATCTGAAAATTAAAGTTATTTTCATTCCAAAGCAAGTTATACGTTAATGGTATACAGGTGACTAGAAAAAAAATGGGAGAAATTGCTGTGAATTCATGTACTGGAGTGAGGAAGGCAAAGAATTATTGTTTTCCCATTTTGCCATATGAAAAACTAACATTTTTTTTCTACAGGTTTTATTGTAAAGTGTGTTAAGATTGGTGCCTTCTTATGCTTTTAGAGCTATGAGGCAAAAATTGGGCAGGTCTTTTAACACATCTGAACACAGTCTGACAAGGAAATCTTGGAAAAGGTAAGATTCATTTCATTATGAAATATCATAAAACAAGAGGCAACACTTATCCTGGCATACTTAAAGCATAATCGTGGAGCTTGTGACATATCTCCGAAGAATGAGGAAGACACAGTTTGTGTGTGTTTAGGTGTCCTACATGGAAAACCAGAAACTGCACTGAGAAGCAGAAATACGGTATGCCATCCTGTAATAAATAACAATAAATCAGCGCGAAGGCAGCTATCTTGTAGACTACCTAAAAACCTCAGCAACATTGTAAGAAAATTGTTAGGAGAGCCGATGCTTTAACCCACAACATAATGAGAAGCATCACTACCTCCTAGAAGAAAAAAGGCCCATATCTTGTAGGACTTTACAGAAGAGTCGTGAATTTATACTTACTGCATGTAATTTAGCTCTGGAAGTGTGGACTGGATGAGTGGACAGTGAAGTGGATCGAAGACTGGCTGGATGGCAGAGCCCAGAGGGTGGTGATAAATGGAGGCCTGTGGCTAGTGGTGCCCCACAGGGTCAGCACTGGGCCCAGTGCTCTTCAACTTGTTCATCAATGACTTGGACGAGGGAACGGAGTGCACCATCCACAAGTTGACACCTTCCGCAGATGAGACCAAACTGAGAGGAGTGGCCGACACTCCTGAGGGCTGTGCTGCCATTCAGAGAGACCTAGACAGGATGGAGAATTGGAAAGATAGGAAGCTCATGAGGTTCAACAAGGACAAGTACAGGGTCCTGCACCCGGGGAAGAATAACCCCAGACACCAATACAGGTTAGGAGTTGGTCTGCTGGAAAGCAGCTCCGCGGAGAGGAATTTGGGAGTCCGGGTTGACAACAAGTTAACCATGAAGCAGCAATGTGCCCTCGTGGCCAAGAAGGCCCGTGGGATCCTGACCTGAATCAGGAAGAGCACTGCCAGCAGGTCGAGGGAGGGGATCCTGCCCCCCTGCTCACCTCTGGTGAGGCAGCACCTGGAGTACTGGGTGCAGTTCTGGGCTCCCCAGGACAAGAGGGACGTGTTGCTTCTAGAGAAGTTCGAGCACAGGGCCACGAAGATGATTAAGGGACTGGAGGATCTGTCTTATGACGAAAGACTAAGCGAGCTGGACCTGTTTAGCCTAGAGAAGAGAAGATTGAGAGGAGATCTGATCCACATGTACCAGTACCTGAGGGGTGTAGGGAGGATGGGGCTAAACTCTTCTCAGTGGTGGCCAGTGACAGGATGAGGGGTAATGGGTACAAATTGAAACACAGGAAGTTCCATCTCCATGTGAGGAAGAACTTCTTTACTGTGAGGGCGATAGAGCCCTGGAACAGGCTGCCCAGAGGGGTTCTGGCGTCTCCTTCTCTGGAGATCTTCCAAAGCCGCCTGGATGTGACCCTGAGCCACGTGCTCTGTGTGTCCCTGCTGGAGCAGGGGGTTGGACTAGATGATCTCTAGGTCCCTTCCAACTTTAACCGTTCTGTGCTTCTGTGACTCTGTGGTTAATTCTAAGCATGTGATCAGCTGTGACTCTACTACTTTTCAGTAAATACACTCTTTTTCAGTAAAATTATCCTTTTTTTCTTTAGTCTTAATTCAGACCTAAATCTGAGGGATGCAGTGATAATAACACCATGTTTTTCCTCTGCAACAATGAACAAACCCCTCTTTTACTGTGTTATTGATCACTAGTCATGAAAACTGTTATTTGAGACTGGATTGGTGATCTGGGCTTCTGCCTGCATTCTTATTTCTAATTTTGTTAATGCTTGCATGAATTGCCCTGACAACTTTGAGATGACTACCCTATTCCTGACAATGTTGTTTTTGTTTTTTTCTTTTTGTTGTTTTTGCTCTGTTGAAGCTAAAGGGAGCTTGAGTGTCAGAAGAAAAAAAGCCTATGGGCAGTGCTAGATATTACTGCTTATATCATAATAGTATTGAGGGCTGAATAATTAAGAAAATGCAGAGGTGAACGTTGTTAAGTAGATTGTAATTGTTCATACCAGGTAGAAGAATAGGTATGGTGACTGTATTCAGGGTTGCATAAATGAAGTGAAAAAAGAAATGACACATTTTGGCGTAACATCTATAGTCATAGTTTACATGCTCTAAAATCAATTTCTGTTTTATCTAAAATTACTCCTAGCAGTCATGCATAATGCACAATGAAGGCAATTAAATAAAACTCCTCTCAGGAAAACAGTTCAGGTTTCCTTAACTAGAGCTGCAACTAGACAAAGACCTGTTCCAAAATACATATAGCCCAAGAATATTTTCTTGTTGGATTTACCTATGCTGCTAATAGCACTGTATCTAAATCCCATCATTATTCTAAGCATGAATGTTTCTTGAATATCAATATTGTTCAAAATACCCAATGCATTATATTTTCTCTTCCTACAAATACTTGGCTGTGTCTAACAGGTTTCAATCTTAATAGATTTTAGCCATATATTATCAAAATGAAATACCACGCCAAGAGGTATTTAAGCTATCTGTTATCAGAAACACTCCTAAATCTAGGTCATCTAGTTTTTAAGAGCAAGGAAGGCATGAACTATGTGAAGTTATAGACTTGACGAGCTCAGGAGAACTGGTGTTCCACAAAAGACTGTGCAAATGCACACTTGCACATTTTCTACCTAATTAATTTTTGACCCTTGTAGATAAATATGTATTTAGAGACCTTTAACAGGGGGCAGAACTGGGAGGAGACAAGATTAAAACTGTCTAAACCATAGTTTATATTTGCTTATGCTAGAAGTTAATGATTCTTCTACCAAGTACCAGCTCAGTCTTGCTTAAGGAAAGACTACTCTGGCTTTTGATTATTTGAGTGGTAGTATAGCTCCTGTTGTGGATACCAAACCTAGGTAGGCACTTTTTTAATATTCTTTTTGTTTGTCTTACGTTTAAAATGTTACCGTTTGGTGTTTGCAATTAATGAGCATTACCAATGTAGTACTAGTCTCATTTCCTGTGACCAGTAATAGCAGTAACATTCCTGTTCTGTTGATGGCATCCTACAGTTGTATGTTTCTCTTTGAACAGTAAACACCTTAGCTCATGAACAAGCAGCATTTAGACCTGCACAGCACTTTGTGATATTCATTTCTTATATTACATTAACTTAGCACATCTTATTATGGTTCCTTAAAGTATATAGCGATCAATAAGATTCTTGGGTTAGCGTTGCATTTGGTACAAGTCAAGATAGTTACATATACTCCTGCATGAAATCTGGCTCCTAATTTGTGATATTGCAGTCTATTAGATGGTGATACAGGTTTCTGGATTGCAAAGAATGCCTCTAATTTCTTACAGTCTGAAACACTGAAGAAGCCTGTGGCTGTACTGTGCAAAGTGGGCTGCTGGGCTTTGCAAGGGGCTTGCAGGGTGCTCTGTGCTTCATGTGATGTTGTGAAAACTTTCAGCTCCCACCAGAACAGATGATCCACACTAGTTACTAATTAAGACCCTTGATGTCCCCTCACGCTAAAATATTTCTCTGAAGACACTGAATTGAGCACAAGAATAAACTCAGTCTAATGAGAAAATAAGCTAGAAAAAGAGCAATTGGAACAACATGGAAGAGTGTTAATTTTCATTCTAAAAGTATGCCTTGGGATTTGGGGATTTTTTTCCTTATGCTTGTTTTCTGGGGGAAGTATTTTTTATTTTCCTCAAAAAGGAGACAGGGTGATTTGTTGTTGTTGTTGTTTCGTTTTCAGTCCAAGCAGCTACCTAAGCTATACGCGCAACTATGTGTTTGCACATTGCACTGTGTTACTTGGTATCTCTCTTCTTTCTGCAAATGCAATGACTTTTTGCAGCAGAATGGCTTGTACAAACAAAGAGTAATAGTTGGAAAGAAGAAGTAGGAGTGAATAAATAAATGTGCTGCCTATAACTTTGCTGATACCCAAAACTTTTGTTTGTTAAAAATGGAAACAAATGCTGGTGGAACAGTTCTAAAATAACAACACATGAATAGTTTTTAGCCTGGAAATGGTCAGTCTTAGCAGTTATTTTATGTTAAAACAATGGCAAATTTACCGTTTAACTTTCTTTTTCCTAATCTTCTCCCTGATCTTTTCATGGCTCCAAAAGATCTCCACATAGTCAGAGGCAGCAGGACAAAAGCAGAGGCTGCCAACAGCTGGTCCTTTCACATAACCCACTCTAGCATTTCTCCAGAAGTGGTTGCAATACCTTTTCCCTCTGCTCTCCTCTTTTCCCAGCAACAGTGCTTCCAGGAGCTCCTGTGCAAAGCAGCAATGGCACGCCGGCTGTTCACCCCACACAGGAGTCAGTCACCCTGCTCTTGCCTGGGAGACCTTCCCCTGGTCACTGCAGTAGCTTGTCCCTGCGCTGCTGAAGCAGATGGCTGCCCATTGCTAGTTGACTTCACAATTTTCTGCATGCACAAGGCAAATTTTGCCCACAGAAAATGAATTTTACTTTGTTTTATTTCTCTCTGATCTTTTGTTTTTCTTGACATCTCTGTCGATGCCTGTTCAACTATTTGCCACTCTTTTCTTAACCTGCTGTTTGATACTGCTGTCACTCTCAGGAACTGTCCTCCTTTCTTAGGTCTTCACAGTCACTCATTGAAACATTTTGCTCCATGGACTGCTCATATCTTAACTGATTTCGTTAGTTATGGATTCTAAAGTGCCTTTCTGTTTTCTCTATTTTTCTTCTTACTTCAATCTTCATGTTTTCCTGCCTGGCCTCTTGTCAGTGGTGGCCACTGATAGAACTAGAGGAAATGTCCAGAAATTGAAGCATCAAAAGTTCCACAGGAACTTAAGGAAAAAATTCTTCATAGTGAGGGTGACAGAGCCCTGGAACAGGCTGCCCAGAGAGGTTGTGGAGTCTCCTTCTCTGGACATCTTCAAAACCCGCTTGGATGCAGTCCTGTGCCACGTGCTCTAGGTGACCCTGCGTGTGCAGGGGGGTTGGACTAGATGATCTCTAGAGCATTCTATGATTCTATGATTCAATCTTTCTTTCCTTACATCCAGAGCCTAAGTCCTGTTGTACCTTCAAACTCAACAAAACCCTACTTCTATAGCCTTGTTACCAGTGATGACCTGCTATCCTAGCATCTTACTGTGGTCCCCAATGTACACTCATAAGAGCAAAAAAGTAATCTTTGCGTTACATGGGTGTAGCTAAATTTTGGAGGACCAGATGCTCAGAAGTATTTGAGTACTCACGCCCAGATGCACAGAGGGTCTCGTTCTGCAAGCATTTCTGTTATTAGCCATGCAGGCTTGAGTAGATCTTTCCTCTATATTTTATTCTCATCTTTCTGGGGAATTAAGGTTTGCCTGTAAGAAATTATTTTGCATTTGAATCCGTTTTTTCACCCAGGCTTACAGTGACACTTGCTTGAGTGAAGAGTGCACGACGTAGATATTAACATGGGAAAGGAAAGGAGTTATTTAAGGCAGCAATACCACTTAAGGACGGGATGGTAAACTTAAGCCTAAAAAAAAACTGTTAAAGTGTTTAAATCTCTGCTTACTTGTTTTAACATTGCTGAGGCTTGCCCCATTTGAGTAAACAAAATTGTTCTTCAGCACCATGCATTAGAGCAATGCCTGCCCTTCAACTGCTCTGAAAAATTTGCAAATGCAGCTGGACTTCTTCCAGCGTTGGAAAAGCTCATCCAACTTTTTTTTTTCAGCTCTATTCAACCGTGGAAAATATCTCTTTGTGTGTTTTTTCCTCTCTCTACCTCTTTCTTGGTCTTTTCACAAAGGAAGAGAGTACCGTGAAAGGTGAAATAAATCAGTTTCTGTGAGCTATAATTTCTGAGCTCTGACTTGGATTCATTAGTTCCAAAATTCCCATTTCCTCTGTGTGTCAAGAGCTGCAGATCTGAAGAGTGGTTTGTTCCAAGTGATCCATTTTCCCAGAGGGGCTCTGCAGTGGCTTTTGGATCTTCCTTCAGAAATCTGTTCTCTTTGTAGTTGGATTTGCACAAACGGGCAAGTGTTTTCATTCTTTAAGTAAACTTTCAAATAGTTATGTAAACTTCCCTTACAGCATTTCACAGAAGTAGTCTCCTTTACTATTACTTACCCATCCCTCCAATATAGAATTCTAAAAAATCAGTGAAGACAAATGTGAAGTTTGTAATATTTGTTGCAATAAAAACAAATTCAACTTTATCATGCAACTAATATTTCAACAATAAAAAAAACCCTATTATTTCAAAGGAGGGGAAAGATGAATCTTCTGTGGCTGCAGTATGTGTTCTTTGCAAGGGAAATGGAGTGATTCTGCTGAACTGCTGAGTAGCAGCAGATCTCATGCATAGATTGCATTCTGCAGAGAGAAAAAAACTAAGGATACCCTGCACACAATGCAAGAGAAAGAATACCTAAGCTCCTTGCAGCTGAGCTCCTGTAGCTGAAATAATTAATTCTTTTTGTCATCAAGAATTATGTATGTCCAGGCAATTCAAAGGAATAAGCAGGATGAATGTAGATGATGGTGTTATCACACTGCTCTCATCAGAGTACTCACTGACCCCCTAAGCCTCTTGACCCAGGAATGCAAAGCTTCCCTTGGACTCCCTATTCTTCAGCACTGGTGCTGTGTTGACCTCTTTATGTCGTTTATGTCAGACAGAGGTGCTCCCTCTTACCCTTTTTAGAACTAAAAGTCATTCTAAAACAAAACAAAATTAAAAAAAAGCAAGCACAAAAAATGGGGGAAGGAGGAAGAAAGAACCATATCATTCAAATGAAAGAGAGAAATCTAAACAAGATACTTAAAAACTTAAGCAAATATACCCTTTGAAACACCCAAGTCATTGAACCAAATCCTTTCCAATGAAAAGATTCAGTTTCAACATCTCGTCATTTTCCCATAACTGCTATTTCATCAGAGGGATCCTTAACTAACTTAACCTTGATATGTGTGTTCCTGTATTTATTATTGTTTTCTCTCATATCCAGATATTTCAGTCAAAAAATCAAGCATGGAGGTGGAAACTGAATCCAGCCATGTGGATGCCTCAAATGAGGAAGCAGAACCTGCCCAGCTTTTGGATGATGAAGCAAATAAACAACTGCCAGTCAAAAAGAAGACTTCCTGTTGCACGGGCCTGAAGGTTTGCTGTCTTATCAATATCACCACAAATTACATTGTCATATGTCAAGAATTGTTGTTCAAAATGTGACATGGCAGTCACTTTATTCTCGTTCCCTCTATCTTTTCTCAAACCCAATACAAACTGGAGGTACAGGGAAGGGTTTGATCTTGCCAAACCTTGTGCTAAATAAAATAAAAATTGCTAAGCTAACATACATACCCTCAAACTATTCATAGTTAAGCCCCCATCTTAGTCACTGAACAGGGTAGACTTAGTATTGGGATGAAGACTCCAGCTTATCCAGACTTCATCTCCAGTGCTGGACTTCCTCCAACCTAAAATAGATGGCTAAGACACAGTGCTGTCTGGATATTACTGTTGCCATCAGTTTTTGTAGGGCCAAAACAGGATGGCACTAACCCTGTTTCAGGGTGTTTAGCAAACAGGCCTAAGGACTGAAGGACTAAGAACTAAAGTCCTTAGTGCACTGATTCACACCAGCATCTGAGCTTTCAGGAGCACATGGGGTGAATTTAATGCATTGATTGAACAAAGCTGGTGAGAATTTTGCTTTAATGTTAGAACCTTAGTATTTGTCATTTCTGGCTTAGCTGCAAATACTACGAGGACAGGATTCCTGTTACACTGTTGTGTTTGGGTCTGTGTCTTGGCTCGTTCCTGAGCCAACTTCATCGCTGGTTAATTCCATAGGCTCAGTGGAGTTGTAACCAAAGAAAGACACATTTCTTCCTACGAAAAGTTTGTAAAAGGAAAAATTAACTGAAAAAAAAATAGGTAATTGCAAATTTCTCAAATGTCCGATGTGCTTTGGCTACAGTATTGGGCAAAGGTTGTCACATCTCGTATTTTATGACTCACTTTTGCCGTTCATATACACCTGCAAAAATAGAATCTGATCTCTCTGGGAGAATCGTGGCAGTTACTTAGTTTGCCATCATATACACAGACAATGCTGCAAGACAATGACTCCATAACTGAAAATCCTGTGACTATCTTTATGGAGAGTTTAATAGACACAGTGTCTTTAATATCGTGAAAGCCAATCTCTTTTTCTACTTTACCTTCCTATGAAAGGCTTTTATGGTTTGTGTTAGCATTGTTTTTTCAAACTCAAAATGACCAAGTCTCTTCTGTTTGTGTTTTTATGCTTGTCTGCAGTTTGTGATTTCACCTAGAACCCAAGAGAGATCATTGCTGAAATCAGGCAAGGAAGGTTTTCTTCCAAACAGACTCACCAAATATGAAACATAGCAAGACCAAGACCTGTACTTGTGAATTTTTTTCCCTTCATTTCTAGACCAAAAAAGAATAGTTATAACTATTCTCAAGCATTTACTGTCAGGATTGGCTTTATTTCTTACAGTAGATAATAATGCAAAGGTCTAAACATATATTTGTTTACTTAGCCAATATTGTTTTTTATTGTAACTTTTACCCAGTGAGCAATAAGTCTATTTATTTTTAGTCTCTGTTGAAATAGTTGGATAATATTTAAACAGACTTAGTTTATCTTGTTATCTGATATATCATTGTTTACTAAAGCCACAATATGTGTCAGTGGAAACAACTATAAAATCGCAAAGAATGTTAAGCTTTCCTTTATAAGGTATGTAGTACACAAGCAACATAGCTATGATATATGTATATAATTAAAATACATTTAAAAAGAGATTCATCCACGTGAATAGGCCTAAAATAAGTAACGCATGGCCCAAACAGAAGATAACTGTGGCTAAAGTTCATCCGAGGCTAGATTATTTTCTAGTCTCTGTTCATGGAGAATTTTACCACAGGCACATTTAACATTTCTATAATGTCTAGAAATCCCAACATTTTGGCTGCCCAACACTGGGCCTCTGACAAACTTCATCCTTGGACATCACCAAGGTAAGCAGTCCCCAGAGAGTTGTTTGCTGAAATTTAAATTCCACAGTCCGTAGAATTCCTGCCTTGTAAAACCTTTGACCAGCAAGGCAGGAAAGATCAGGCTTTCTGGTCATCAAATGGCCACAGCAACCCTGAACACAGGCAAAGAAAGTGGCTGCTCTAGGAACTCAGAGCCCAGGGCAAACCTTGCTGAAGGACGGCCATGATGCTGCGCAGCATGAAGGCATGTGAGAACATGTACAATGTCATTGCGGGAACTGGGTTAACAAAGTCAACCCAGATGAAATAAATACTGTAATGATTGTTCCACACAAGCTTAAGCATATTTCCTCTTTGCATGACCTGCTTCCCTGTTCCTACCCCCCATTTTCTGTCTTCATCTTTCCTCAGGTGTTTCTCGCTGCTTTATCCTTCAGCTACTTTTGTAAAGCATTGTCGGGCACGATCATGAAAAGCTCCATCACCCAGATTGAAAGAAGGTTTGACCTTACATCCTCTACAGTTGGTCTCGTTGATGGAAGTTTTGAGATGGGTAATTGATATCCCATAACACAGAGCAAATTTTTCAGAGCAGTGTGGGACACGGCATCTGGTATTAATTTTTGTTCTTCCTTTTTTAGGTAATTTGCTGGTGATTGCATTTGTAAGTTACTTTGGAGCTAAACTTCATAGGCCGAAAGTGATAGCTGTAGGATGCTTTATTATGGCTTTGGGATGTCTTTTAACAGCAATGCCTCATTTCTTCATGGGATAGTAAGTACTAAACAAGATTCATTTGGGTAACAGAATGTTGGAATTGGATATTGTTTTCTGAACAAAAGCTGGTTTATATTAAGTAAGTCCTAGATTTTTCAAGAGTATATCAAATGAAAGCACCATTAATCACATGTAATACATACATTACTCATGTGATACATACATTACTGTACATATTATCTAGTTGAAAAAATATGGTTCCTCCAAGGCAACTGTTCAACTTTTGGCAAAAATCTGCAAACCAAAATGCTTTAATTTTCAGTCAGTCAGGTTTGTTCTGGAGTGGAGACAGAAAAGGAAATTATTTTAGGAAATTATTATAAACATATGTGTATAATTTGGTAGAAAATAGAATCCTGTGAAAATCTTTTGAAAAATCAATTTTCAAACAGAAAAAATTTGTTCTTTGAAAGTCTGACCCTGCGTGTGCAGGGGGGTTGGACTAGATGATCCCTAGAGGTTCCTTCCAACCTTAAGCATTCTATCACTCTATGATTCAGCCAACATACCAGGCTAATGCTATTGTTTTAAAGAATTATATAATCTTTCTGAATTGCTTACTGTGTGAATGCTTTACTGGGTTTCCCCAATCAGTAGCAATCTAGGGATGTGGTATCACTGAGTATTAATAGAGATGTCAGGTTTATGTGGGCAGGAAATTTAAACCACCATGAATCACAGTAAAATTATTAAGATATACCCACCTCTGTGATTTCCAGAGCGATTTGCAATTGGTGCTGTTCTGAATAGGACCTCAAGCTTTGAGCCTGAGGCTTCATACCTGAGATATAATTTTCTTTACAGTAACAGGCAACCTTCATGCAAAAGTAGAACTTCAGAGCTAATCATTGAAGAAAAAAACCTACAGAGGTGCTCACTAGAAGAAATCCAGGTCCCTGAAAGAGGCACCTAGAGCTTGGGTGCAGCCTCAGGCAGCCTGTGCTCCTGTGATCCCTCACACAAAGAAGCCTTTCAGCTTCAGCGAGCGTTTACAGATGAATCAGTGCTCATAGAATTGGTCCTTTTTTTTTTTTTTTCTGTTCCAAATGCTCATGGCTGGTTTAACTGATTATCTGTGGCTGGGTAAACTAATTTCTATGATTCTTATACAGATTCAGACAATTACTGTCTTTTGCTTATAAGTAATGTTTATAGCCATAGCTCTGAAACAGTGAAACTATATAGTGAGACATATTTCTGTTGCTTGATTAGATGTATTAGAATAATTTTAGTGTACTATTGCAAAAAGAATACTAAAGAGCACTTTTAATCATGACGATTTCATCTTACATCAACACAAGACTGTTATTTCACACTGCTTAAGTCAAGCCATGTATCTGTCTATACTGAGAAACTCATGAAGCTTCTCCTGAGCTAGTGACTGAATTTTTCCAAGGAAATTGGTCTGCAGGGTCTCCTAAGATGAACTCTTGGTTTCAAACTGAAAATAGGTTTGCATGGTCTAACAGAACCTGTCCAGTTCCTAGAAGCAGAAAGTATATTTTACCATATTGTTGTGTCTGAACTAATTGTGCTTTGCTCCTCAGGGATTTAGGATCTGGGAAGATGACTGTGCTAAAACACCAGGACTGTTTCTAGCACCTGAGCAGCTCTGCTGTCTCTCCGCTGCATTTCCCTGCACCCTGTAAATACACCCCAAAAGTGCCTTTAAGAGATTAATTTAATCCATTATCTACTCTATGATGGTCAATGCCAAATAACAGGGCAACAGATACCTCCTGAGGATGAATTCTCCTTTTCCTTTTTTTTTTTAGTGTTTCTATATTCCATACTTTAAAAAGCTCTATTTTTACTCCGTCATTAGCATTTTGGACTGATATTAGAAAGCAATACATTTCTCTTAATAGAAGTAGCAGTCAGGTGATTGCTACTTTATATTAATACATAATGGTATGTATGTTGCTGTTACTAGTAAACACTGCTTCTAAATGTAGCACTGTGTGTTTCCAGCTATAAGTATGAGACAACATCACATACAGCATCGTCAGTCAACCTAACTTCAAAGATAAATCCCTGTTTGCTACATCATGATGCCAACAAAACTTCTTTGGAATTCTCACAATCAGGTAAGTGTAAGTACCAGTGAAGCAGTTAGTTTTATTCTGTCTTGGTCATCAATTGAGTGAATTATTCCCCAGAGAAGGATGCTCATTAGATTTCTAAATTCAGGCTCTGCTTGTCTGGGAACATTGCTGACAGTTAACTGCATATTGTGCATTTCATTTGGAGAAGAAACAACAAGCATACACAGACTACTAGGATCCAGATCCCCAGTTCCCTACATATACCCTTCCAGATTACAATAAAATGACCCTAACATTAAAAGTATTGCTGAGAATGCATGGAAAAAAATTAGCTTCCAAAGAGATTCAGATACGCAGGACCTAGGAAAAAAACAAGCAAACAGAATGGCATGAAGGGATCTGAAGCTGTGCACCATTAACCATAAATGAATGGAGGTTTCCATGCTATTACTTATAAATATGGTGTATAGTTTTAGTTCATTTTGCTCAGCATGGGTGGAGAGTGAGCTAAGCTGTGCCCAAGTGATGATCTCTAACTTCTCAGGTTAAAGGTATAAGTTATATCCCAGATAGATAATATCTTTATGACAATATCGATCTGTCATTTCAACATGGATATTTTGGGAGTGGGGGGTGAGCAGCAGGGGGTGATACCTGTATCTTTAGAAACCAAACGTGATGGAGGTTAAGGTAAGTGTTATTAAACTATTATAAAAAGATATAATGGAACTAGCAGCCTCGTCTTAATATTCCATAAGGAGAGTGTTTTTAATGCTTTACATATTAAATTATAATAATTTGATGTGCTTAATTTCCTGAGATTTGTCAATATTTCCCATTCAACTATTCTATCTTGAAGATGTAACCCTCATTATGTGCAGGCTGTGAAAAGGAAACATCATCATATACGTGGATATATATTTTACTGGGAAACATGTTACGTGGAATTGGTGAAACACCGATAACACCATTGGGCATCTCTTATCTTGATGACTTTGCCAAGGAAGAAAATGCACCTGTATATATAGGTAATCTCAAAGTAAAATAAACTGAGAAGTACATAGAGTAAGAAATTAGTCATCCTTTGCAGCAGAAATTGTTCAACCATTAAAATATGCTTGTGTTTGCTTTGTATGTTTTCAGCAAGTTTGCACACAATAGCCATGCTGGGCCCAATGTTTGGTTTCATGTTGGGATCGCTATGTGCGAGACTATACGTGGATATTGGATTTGTGGATTTAGGTAAGCAAAGCAGAGATAAAGTAGGAGTAAGATAAAATGTAAGAGCTGATTTGTACCACTATAGGTAACAGATTCCTCTACATACCTGTAAGTTTTTACTGTATTCCAAGATATTGCTGAAAGTTTGCTTTGACAAGACAGAACGAGACAGAACTAGATAGGGGATGTATTTTAGACCCCTGCCTTAGGGTTTAAAAATTAAATACATACTTAATTTTCAATATTAGTATCAAGACATCTCATTAAACAAAGATGTTTTCCTAAATTGAGATCCTAATGAAGAGTTCTGCTGGCATAGAAATTTTTCAGATCTGATGAACTACCTCCCCTTTCAACTAGTCATTTTGTAATATTTAGAGTTAATTTAAAGTTTGCAGTATATTTATATTTCTTGCTTGTTTTAATCCAAAGAAAAAGCATGATATCACATCCACAAGTGGTGGCCGTGGTCTGCACCTTACACTTGTAAGAGGCAGGAATCATTTATGAGACCATATTTCCTGGCTAGACCATCCTTCATTCCCCAGACCAACTAGGGAGAACTGTGCAGGGCAGACTGCTGGAAAATTTTCGGGAGATAACCCATCCATCAGCAGCAGTGGGTGATCCCCTTTTACTGGCAAGAGGGAGAACTTGAGCTCTTCAGGATCCTGTACTTGGATAGATTAATTATTTTATGACTTCCCTATGTTAAGCCAATATTATAGAATAATTAATTATGAGTAATTAAGCGTAATAGCATTGAGCCAGTTCTGCACAGTGAAAAGTCTTACAGCGTTGTAAAGTCTTACAGTACAAAGTCTACAGCACTTAATAGCTATAGAAATACAACAAAATGCTCATCCTTCTTGCGATACGTAATTGAGCATAAATTTGTGCCTAATGTCACTGACACCAAAGAGAATATGCTTAATGCTGACCTACACAATTCGGTAACCAAAGGATAGTTTCAGTAGAAATCTGCCAGGCCAAAACGATCCAATGTTTGAGGCCTGTCTGTCACCTATTTTGGATTCTTACGTGCTGGGTAAGGGCTGATGTGTGGCACTTTATGCCAGTCAAAGTGGCAGTCAACATATGCCATAGGAACCATAACACCATCCAGGTGTGTTTCCTGATGCCTCCGTTGCATGAAAGGTCTCTCATTAGATGATTATCTTTAGCACTGAGAGTCAAATATTGTCCTGTGTAGGTATGTTTGCAGGCGAAGAGCGGAAACTTTTTCTATTTCCTTATTTAACTCATTTCTGTCTCCCTCGATTCCAGAAAGCATCACTATCACTCCACAGGATTCTCGCTGGGTGGGTGCCTGGTGGCTAGGTTTTATGATAGCTGGAACAGTCAGTCTCCTGGCTGGTATTCCTTTCTGCTTCCTGCCGAAGAGCCTGGAAAAGCCAGAGGGAGACAACCATGACAAAACCTCATCTGGTCTCCTGGAAGAGAGGAAAGCCACAAGGAAGACACACACTTCTGCAAAATCCAAGCCAAAGAAGTGGTCAGCCATGTTGAAAGGCAAGTGTTTTGTGTGTTGTATAACTATGGGAAGCAGTTGATACAATATGCAGCAGGAACCTGATAGTTCTGCTGGACACTTCATTTCCCCAGTGCTTCAAAATAAATCAGTTAGCTATCCTCAGGAAAGGGGGTGTATTGGAAAATAAAAAGCATTTTTCAGGAGTCTAAGGATCTACCTGATTTATCATTGTTTCAATGACACCCTCTAAAATTTTGAACTAGAATATATTAAGATTATGGAAAAAAAATGTTTCTGTATTAGAATCTAAAGGAAATGGGTTTATTTTTCTGATCATCATAGAGCTCATGGAGACTCTGAAGCACCTTGATTCCTGAGGGGGGAAGAAATGGCAAGGCTGAATTTCAGTTCTTGCTGAGCAGTTTGTTAGGCTAGGAGAGTTGGGAGATGGAGGATGAGGAAGGGATGGCATAGTGTTATCAAGAAAATACTGTCTTTATTCAGATCCCACTGGAAAACATGCCTTTGGACATCTCTGCAAAGGCACCCCACTCTTAGCCTTGAACCTGTGATGATATTAACGTTAGCTTAAATAAATAACTTTTTTCTGTGTGAAACTTTTGCGATGCGAGGGGCTCCTTATAGGTTCAAGGCCTTAATCAACAGTTCTGTCTTTCTTTTCTGTCTAGCTTTTAATTATGCCATTTCATACAATTCTTCTTTCTCGGACTCTGGTATTTTATCTGAGAACTAGATGTTGCTGTTAGATACAATGTAAATGAAGATCAGTACACTCGGCACTCAGATGCCCTAGGAAAGGACTTTTCTCTGAATTTCATAGATTACTCACCAGCAATTATGGCATGTGTTATTCAAAGCCAACTCATATCTCTCTTTATTTCAGATTTCTGTACATCCCTGAAAATAGTATTGAGTAATCCAATGTACATTACTCTGATGTTCAGCTCATTGTTACAGTTCAGTAGCTTTATCGGTTTCCTGACTTACAAACCTAAGTACATGGAACAGCAATATGCACAATCTACATCTAAATCTAACTTTCTCATAGGTGAGTGACACTGTGTGATCACTATGTGTATCCACGGGGAGAAGTTCTAGCATGCTTATTCTGGGACTGAACTCCTTGTAGAATAGACTGATGTCTCTCCTGAAGCTGAATTATACAAGGCTGCAGACAAACTATAGCTTTTTCCTGGTCTATGGGACCAGAATAAAGCAAAAACAAAACAACCAAACAACAACCCCATGCTCAAAATGTGGAATGGTGTAGGGATATGCTGTGATGTCTGACTGGTGGGTGCTTGTGGTAGAAGCAAGAACCAAAGCCCATACTAGCTAGATGGGTGTGCAGTGGTTTTTTGAAATAGACACTTCAAAATATCATGCCAAACTTAAGGAACATGTTGAGCAGGCAGACAGCTAGAGTCATCAGATACAACTTAGAGCTGTCTTGGACCTTGCCCCAAGAGCAGAAGTTGGCTCTTAACTACAGTGCGAGTCTCTTATTTTAACATTCCTCTTCTATAATCTCTTCCAGGTTTGACATCCTTACCTCCTGTAGGTCTTGGGATTTTCCTAGGAGGGCTCATAATGAAGAAGTACAAAATGGGCATCACTGGAATGGCAAAGTTTGCATTTAGTATGTCATTTTTTGCCTTCCTTCTCAGTCTGCTGCACTTGTTTGTGGGCTGTGAGAACCATGTAGTGGCAGGACTGACAGTGTCCTATGACGGGTGAGTGAAAAATGGACGGACATTTTGCTTCATGGGAGCACGGAAACACTCCAGATTATATACTCTGGCATCAGTTAAAATAGGAAAACACTTTTGCATTGCTTAGAGGAAGTGAACCCTAGCAAATGTTTATGTCGTAGTTTTATTGAATAGGGGAGTGTCAGACTGCCAATACAGCACTGGCAAAAGTTTAATTACAAATATATTAGTAAAATTGCATTTTTAGAAGAGTAGGTCATCTGGCTGCTGCAGGAATTGTTTCCATATTTCTCATACTGACGCCTTTTTTTCAGAAGTGATTTTCTAGCAAAGTGTGTCCAGACTTGACAAAAAGGTGAAAAATATATAACAGAATTTATAATATAATATAATAGAATATATAATATAATATAATATATATATAATATGATAGAATCTCAAGCAAAGAGATCAATTCTGTAGAAACTCAACTATTAAAATCTGAATGACCTGAATTTGAGAGTAGTGACTCAGACAGAAGGGAAATTTGAAGGGATTAAACTGACTTGAGCACTGCTGAAAGGGTATTCTCACACCAGTCTAAACTTAACTTCGAAGGAAACCCATTCAGAATCATGAAAATGCCTTACTTTCTGACTGCAACTCTGGCTGCAAATGTGCCACCGATGTGTGGGATCCTGTCTGTGGAGACAACGGAATCACATACGTTTCAGCATGCCTCGCTGGGTGCACTGCTTCTGTGGGACGTGGAAAGAGCACGGTAGGAGCTTGCTCCAGTTCTCCAGTTCCTGGTCTTCTTTCTTATTTATTAATTTTTTTAGTTAGCTTATCTTTTATATAGCAGCAGAGGTTTAGTAGAGTCATACACACTTAGAGGAAACCAAAGGTACGGGGGAACAATAAGTAAAACTCTTATCATCTCTAGATGCAAACATTATGGAGAGATTTTTTTACACATTAGACTAAAAGCCAAGCTCTTTTTTGGAGATACTAATATTCATCTTTTGTGGATTGAACATAGGAAAAATAATTCAAAGTACTTAGATATATTTTATGTCAATTCCTCACCATTTGGCTTTCATAAACCTGATCTTGACTGCTCTGAGGTTTCAGCCAAGAGTGGAAGTGCACTGACAAACACAGCTGCCCTCTTCCCAGTTTGTGTCTATGTGAGACTTCAGCGTGGCAGGATACTGCTTATTTTTCCAGATGGCTAAGCTCTGCTTGGCACAGAGCAAGACAGTTCTAGTGAATGGATATATGACTTCATTGCACTGTGTTTCTCATGTCTTATGATGCCAGATGATCATCCTAGAAAATACATGGCCTGGGAAATGCTTTTTCACTCAGACAGAATTTTTTGTCCAAAATAGTTTTCTTTCTGGGTAGTTTCTTATTGGTGCCTACAGGGATCTTTTTCCAAAGAGGTTCTTTGCTTATACTCTTATATGTCAAAGGAGAGGGGGAAGTAGGACTCAGCAGGCTCTGTGAGATTGGGACCACTGTGTCTCACAGAAGTACACACGTATAGAGCCTGAGGTTCCTCTAATGCAAACACGGTAGGATGTTTAGCTGCGTGTGCCTGGCAGCAGGGAATGCCACCACCTGGCAGCGCCCCACCAAAACCCTCTTGTGTCTTTCAGCTCTACCATAACTGCAGCTGCCTCCAAGCCAGCGGGTCACAGTGGGGAAATAACTCTGCCACGTTGGGGCAATGTCCGAAAAGTGATGCTTGTGCAAGGAACTTTATTTATTATACAGCAATACAAGTCCTAAGTGGCTTTTGCTATGCACTGGGAGGCACCCCAGCTTTCATGCTCATGTTTAGGTAAGCAAACTTAAATGAGTATGTACCAATGATAGAGTATTTCCAATGGGAGAATCAGGGTGATGTTTAGGCTTCTTTCTTTCCTTTAGCAACAAAAACTGTCTTGCAGTATAGCATTTTCTCTGCTGAATTTCCTCACTTCACATTTGTTTGCAGTTGCTAACAATAACCTTACTTCTCTGCTGATATTAAGTCTGTTTTAGTGTGTTGCTTCTAAATCCTCCATAATGGTGTCTCTTATAGGTATTATATACCAAGGTTTTCCGGAATATGTCTTCTTTCTCTGTTTGCATTTTTGGCCCCATGGGTTTTGAAAACACTGTACATTTGCGAAGATTCATGGATGTGGAGTAGACCTAGCATATCATACTCTTTGGTTGTCTGTAAATTCAGGTCATGTGAGGCACGGAGGCACATAGTTTTTGTCGTATATAGACACAGGGATACCAGGATGCAATTAGGAACATGTATAGAAATTAGTATATACTTTTCAGTTACCTGAAGTGCAAGTTCAAGTGGTAGAAGAATGCATTAGTGACAAATTTAAGAGTCCCAAGGGCATCATGTCATCCTAAATGAGTATGGAAATTAGAATGCAAACTCCCCCCTTCCTTCTCATTGTGAGACATCTTTTTGAACGTTGTCCATGTTAATATTTGCAAGATGACAGACCGAATATATAATGCATTCAAGATCAGTGCCCAGTTCAGATGCTTGTAATGTGGTTCCCCACAAAGCTGATGGATGTACTGCCAGACAGTTTGGTGTCATTCAAGATGCAGCAGTTGAACAGACTGCCTTGACAAATGCCATTTGAGAATAAAATGATGTAGCAATGCAGCTATATGTAACACTCCTGTCTCAGAGCATTAACATATTTTCCATCACATGAGTAAAATTTTTCTCATCAAGTGAGAAAATTTGTGCCAGTGACTTAAGGAGCTGGGGACTATATTTCACTAACACTAGGATAGGGAGTGTGATTATGTCTTTAATATTTCACTTCTTTAGTGAGTGGACTTCCAAAGTGCCCGAAATAGATTAAATCACCCTTTTTTGTTACCACTTAGCCTATTTCCACAGACATCAGAAGCGCGTTCCTCCTGAAGCTTGGCGTTCAGTGATTCTATGATGAATGTTATACCCAGGGGAAATAGCACCAGTTTAGCAAGCATGTCTAAGCACTACTTCTTACTTATCCCTCTTTCTTTCAGGTGTGTCCAGCCAGAGCTGAAATCTCTTGCAGTTGGTCTGCACACACTTGTTATGAGAGTGCTAGGTAAGAGAAATTATTCTGAGTAATTAAGATGTTTGCTTCTGTAGCTTTAAATGACATCATAGCAGCCACCATTCACGAACCAAACACATACTTGGAATTGTTGTTGTTGAAGGTCCAACATACCATCAAGAGTTCACCGCAAAAATATCAAACACCATTTTGAAATGTTTTGGGCTTCTTATTAAACGTTGTTGCACTTGAGACAAGGTATTCAAAAATGGAACATTTCTGAGCAAAAATAAAATATTAACTTAATTAAGATTTAAGTGATAGCTTTCCTTACTGAGACATAGCACTGCAAGTAAGGTAAAAGGAAGAGGGCTCTATTAGCTCTCTTTATTCAAGGCAAATAAGAGTTTTCATAGCAGAAAGTACTGTCCCTACTGAAACTGTGCCTTTGTGGTACACAAGTGCTTAGATACCCTGTCCTTTTTAGCATGCTGCAATGCCCTTTTTTCCTTTTTGCATAAGGATTGCTAATGAGATGTGTTGTAAATGAGATGGTTAATTAAGATGCCTAGACAGACAGGAAAACATCTATGTCTTTGTTTCCTTTTATGTCTTCTTTGTCAATGGAATAGAAAATAACAGCATTTTAGAAATGCTGAGAAATGTAAGTGTGAAAAGTCAAGCCAGATGGATTTGCTATGAAGCCCAAGATATCACCAGCAGTCTACAAATGTCAGCAGTCAGTGGTTGATTAGAACTGTAGTCAGTTCTTGGAATTTAGATGGGACATTCTTTCTGAGACAGGAAGATGTACCCACATTTTGTCCTCTTGCACTTTTGTCATCACACAATAACAGGGCAGATTTTCTGACCCAGCACTCAGCACTTACTGGTCCTGAAAAGGGTTAAAGAAAGTATTAGGAAAATAGGCCTGAGACCTTTTACAGACTTGTGCTTGAGTGCATCAAGCTGGCAAGCACCTTTCCAGATAGGAGCCACTGCTGTCGATCCATGAAAGCTTGCATTCCTCCCCGGGGCCTTGGAGCGCAAATCTTCTGTGCTTCCCTTTCTCTCCCTGGGAACATCCAAAATGAGCATTGCTCTCATCATACCCTGCCTGCAGCTCTGACCATCCACATGGACCTCTGTGCATACACTATTAAGTAAACCTTAAATACTTATAGAGGAAAGGAACAACTCACTGCAGTCTTATTCTCTGATGCCACAATTACAGTGGAGGATGGAACTTGACGCTAAGAGAACATAAGGATGATTTCTAAAAACAAAAACAAAAAAAAAAAAAAAAGGAAAAAATATGTCTTGTGATATCTTGAGACATTTCTGTTTGCTTCCTTGCAGCTGGAATTCCAGCTCCGGTTTATTTTGGTGCATTGATTGATAGGACTTGCTTGAAGTGGGGAAGTAGAAGCTGTGGGCTTCGAGGGGCTTGCAGAATATATGACTCTAATGCTTACAGGTAAGGTAAATTAGAACACAAAGAAAGAGCCTCATTCATTTCCTCACTGCAGATAGATGCTCCGTATTTTATTATACTATATTGTATGAGACCACTGATGAAACACTGGCCAAACACTAACTCTGGACTAAAGTAATGGCCCTTTGATATCAATGACAAGAACTTTATGGAATGTGTGCAAACAAATATGTATATTCTTTGAGTCAGTGTAAGACACTGAGGGTTTAACGAGTCACCAGTAAGAGAGGAAAGTTATCCAAATCTACCTTATTTGCAGATAGATTGCTGGCACTGGCAAGGCAGTGACTTTGTGCCTTGGCCATGCTCGAGAGAAAAACAGTGAAAGAAAATCACATTGGGCTGCTGAAAGCATTGGTTAAATACAGGCTAAAAACTGTCCCCAGAAGGAATATTCTTGAGATTTCTTCATTTTCACTCACCCCTTGACTTAGGATGAATTTTTTAATTTTATATAAAATAGTCCAACGTAGGAATCACTATCTATTTCTAGCCCTGAAAAAAATATTAATGAGAAATCTTAAATAAGAATAAGGAAGATGATGAAAGTTTCACTTTCCAACTATTTTTATAATATTACAAATTCTTTAGCAAGCTCTTCTAATACCAGTTTATATAACCAATCAGAAAGTGGATTTTCATTTTTTTTCCCTTCAATGTGATGTGTGTTTCAGTTTTGTTGAAAAATTAAAGGCTAACATTTTACATTCTGTCCCACAGATACGCCTACCTTGGCTTATCAGCAGTGCTAAGAGCTCCTTCTTACTTGTTAGGAATCCTTTTTATAGTACTGGCCAAGAAACACTATCAAGATAAGAAATCCAGATCTGCAGAAAATGGAGGAAGAGAAGAAGTTCCTATGAATAAAGAAGATAATTTCAAGAGCAGTGAACCTCTGGCAGGTTCTCTTGAGGCCGAGAATGAATCCTGCATTTAGGAGGCCATTTAAAACATTGTCACATGAGTCAGGGCACTTGTTCTTCAGGACAGCTCTCACAACATCATGAATAAATCAAAAATAAGTAACACTTCTTTGGAAAGTGCAAGCAATAACCAACTTGTAATCAACAAAAAGAAAAGCTTACGCAGAGGCATGTTTCACTTTCAAGTATGAATATGTACACCGGATCACAGAATGGTTAAGGTTGGAAGGGACCTCTAGAGATCATCTAGTCCAACCCCCCCTGCTCCAGCAGGACACCTAGAGCACGTGGCACTGGGTGGCATCCAGGTGGGTTTGGAAGATCTCCAGAGAAGGAGACTCCACAGCCTCTCTGGGCAGCCTGTTCCAGGGCTCTGTCACCCTCACAGCAAAGAAGTTCTTCCTCATTTGGAGATGGAACTTCCTGTGTTTCAGCTTACACCCGTTATCCCTCATCCTGTCACTGGCCACCATGGAGAAGAGCCTGGCCCCATCCTCCCTACAATCACCCCTCAGGTACTTGAACACGTTAATCAAATCTCCTAAAGAGATTTGATAACCAATAACAGCCAGGTTCTTGGTTGATAAGGAAGGAAAATCCACCTGGCATCACTGATAGGCCCCATCTGCAATTTTTGAAGGTGTCAGAGATGCCTGCTGGAGGAACAACCACCTCTGATCCTGCACCCAGAGTCCAGCCAGGGAGCATCAAGCTGGCCTCCAACTGCAGGGTTACAATTTCATCTAATTCAACACAGAATTCAAAACAAAAACATAGCCTTTAAGCAATGCATTCCCACCTCAAAGAAATGAGCCATATCATTTTCTATTGCAATATTGGCAAAATCTGTCAAAACCAGTATTTTCCCAGAAAACATTTTGTCTTAGTTCAGCTGAAAACTTTATTCTTAGTTACAAGCACAAATAGGTTGCTAGAAATGAAATAATTGTTTAAATGGCCTCAAAGTTGTAGTACTGCATTTAAAGTTAATTTTTTAGGTGTGACTATAAAACACAAGAAATAGTCTGAATTTTGTAGTGACACTGTTTTCTGAGCAAAATCTATGCAGTGTATGAAACTCTGTCCAAGGTGCCTTTTATTGCTATGCCAGGTAGTAACCAGCAGAGGACACTCAAAGAATAGTATTACCAGTGACTGAACTGCTCGAAACACTTACTATGCACAAAGTCACTATTTTGGGGAAGAAGTTGTTCGATGATTATGCGCAGTATTAATCTGTGTTTTCCTGCACCTTAAAGCTTTTTCAGCTCAAGCCTTTAGCACATATTTTCTGAGTTACTTTTGTATATTTGTTGGGTTGAGTTTCTTATGTTTCTACCAATTAGATATGGACAATTGTTACAACTTTAAATAAAAAGATACATGCTTGACTATCCTTTCCTAACAGTGATTAGATTCTCTGGTCAATACTTCACAGCAGATGCTCAAGACACAGTGGGCTATAGAAAACAAACAGATAATATACTAAGACACATTAAGCAAAATGCTAAGCCAAGCAGTTGTGAAGTAAGAGTGTGGGCCATCATGAAAATTCATGCAGTAGTGGTTATAGTCACTGAAGGGAAAAGAGTGAGACTTCTTTTCCAAATGAAGCAATAGTCGCTGGAAGAAGTGCCGACCTGTTTATCAAGTTTGCTATGTGTTTTTGCTTGTAACTAATACTTGCATTTGCGAATGTTTTGACATATCCAGATACAGCTCTAGGAATGACCTGAATGATTGAAACACCTTGTCTAGTTACTCAATTTGGGAAGAGTTTTGACAAGGAAAGAAAATGCAACTGTTTGGTTCTGCATGAGTGTTCTCCACTTTGTCCACATGCCACTTTATTTGTATGTCTGTGTGTATACATGATTTCCTAGGATGACACCAAAGCCAGAGTTTGGGTGAGGTACTTTAATCCAAAATCTGCAACCTTTGAAAACACATATTTTATGTGTCAAAATATAGCAATTTTAAATCGGAACAAGAGCAAATCCTGGATGAGGAATTACATGTGAGGAATCAGCCCTATCAAAAGAAAGGGTTATGGCTGTCAGCAATTTTGGGGAGCTATTACTCCAGCCTCATGAGGTCAAGGAGGTAAAAGTAAATGGGCCTTTTGGATGTAGAGAGGAAGGTAGGTACAAGAAAATCATAATCTGCTTAGGAAGGGCTTTTTCTCCCTTTCTTATGAAAAAATTGTTCCAGCCCCAGTCAGGGTGCAAAGCTCAGCTGCCTTTGTGCACTGCAGCAGTGTAGTAGCTGCAAGAGAGAGCAATATTCTGAAATGCTACTAGCTTTGAAAAAAAATGATGCTCTTCTGTCTGTCATTAAAGAAATGCAACCACATGGCACAAATCTGTGATGGAAGTAGAGCAACCAGGACACTCCAGTTGTATTTTGTCTCACACTACAACTCTGTAATTAATTTTTGTGCTACGCTCATGTCCTGAGAGCACTCAGTACCTAAGGAGCACTGCGCACACATACAACTTTGGATTTGCAGGAGAGAGAGAATTATGGGGTATCTTCACAGTTCTGAGAGGAAAACCTGGAGGCCACCCTTTTCTCGTTGCTGTTTTGGAGAAGAATTACTCTGAGAGAATATGTGCATGAGTGCATTTCAGCAGCAATCTATCACTGCAAGCTCCACTTCTACACAGCGAGTATGTAAAATGAAGCACCCACCTCTGCTCTTTAATTCATTGTGGTAAAGACATCCATAGCTCCCTTTGCCCAACTCTTTGAAGGAGCAGGTCAGTTGTATTCAGGTGCCTTCCTGTGGCACAGAAACTTTTTAGCAGCAAGGCCTCTAAATGCAGAGGGGCAGTTCACAATTACCAAAGTTGGAAGTTGTTGAAGTAATTGTTCAATTGTTTCATTTGTTTGTTTGTTTGGGGGCATTGCTGTTGTTTTGGGTTGGGCTGGGTTTTCTTTGAAAACTGTGAGGAAAAAAAAAATGTTGTCTTTTTTATTCACACAGGAAAGAAGATAGATTGTATCTCTCACCATTTATAAAAAAAAATGCATAATGTCCAAAAACAATACAGAAATACTGCTAGAGCTGTGCATGCTTTGAGTAAGTTGCTTTTGGGTGTGTATCTACATTTCAGCCCACAGTTGAAATCCACACAACAAATGATTTGTCCACCTTAGTGCCTGAACATGACACAGGCTGATTGCCTGAACCAACACAAAACCCGAGAAAAGCAAACTCAGCTCTGATGGGCTGCAATACGCCCATGCACACCTCATGGAGGTTACCCCAGTCTTACCCTGAATAAGGATTCACAAGCAACAAAATGTACTGCGCAGATGAATGAGACGACACAAAGACAATGACTCGATCTGCCAGTTTTATCTGGTGACAGTTTATCAACTGGTGCAAATCAGTGCATTGCAAATGACTTCGCTGATCTGTCCAAGCTGACAAATGGCTCATTAGTGCTCAGCTGAAACAGTGTTAGCACTCGTTTGAAACAGTGTTAAAGATTAACCCTTTCCCTTTTTTAAAAAAAGAATTAAAACATGTTTCTTAGCAAAGTAACCATCTGTCATGCATTTTGTCATAGCAGCATATCATCAGAAGGTGACTTTAATTTGAAGAGTGTATGAATTTTCATCACTAATAAAATTCTTGGACTTCCAGTGAATTCATGAATTGTATGTGCCAGTGTGAAATATCACAGCTAAATGCAAAAAGCCCAAAGACAGGCAATAGGAATAATCTCGACTACAGCAAGTGCCCTGTTGTATTAGACTCATGGTCTTGACAAAAAAATGCACCTGTGATGGGCTCTACCCAATTTAAGGGCAAGTGTCCCAAAACTAGCAGACTTGATCTTGAATCTTCCCAAAGTGAGTGGTAGGATCAGATGATCTCTATAGGTTCCTTCCAACTTCAACCAATGTGTGATTCTGTGATCAATTCAGTTTTCTACCTTCAGTTGGTATCTTAGTAATTATCCAATATCTTTCAAAGATACTTGCTATTGGTCAGTAGTAACACCAGTTGTTTTCTTAGTGTACCTTCCTTTTCACGCTTTCTGGAATTCTTTTCCTCCATACACAAATATTCACAAGTATTTACTTGCAAATCTCCTTAGTTTCCAACTATTCATGCTACTTTTTTTCCCCTATTTTTTTTTCTTCTTCAAAACATGTTTTGAAAATGAGTTCAATAGCTGACTCATTTCTGAATCATAATTAATATCAGCCCACTGGTTGTATTTTAATCCTCATTTTAATGCATGAGATTTTAAGCTGCTTGTTGTTTTCATTGACTTTATGAGGGCATTGAGTTGGTCTAGAAAGAAACAATGTGGAATGCAAGAAATGCTTTTGCAGTCCAGGTCTCAGAACTGCCGTTTCTCCAGCACTGTGTGACACTGTGCTGTAAAAAAATCAGCATCTGGCCTACAATTCAGATGATTTGGTGATGACACCATCATATTTCATCGTGTTCTCAATATCCTCCAGACATTTAGAGGTCTAAAAGACCTGGCACTGGTGAGATGTCATTACAGCTTTATGTTGATAACATTACTCAATGAGCGATGCACTTTGCTAGCTTGCAGTCAATTTGGACTTGAAATAAAATGACAGAAATGGTTATATAAAGGACAGCAACATTTCATTAGAAAGAGCAGTGGTGAATGCATAGAATGAGTAAATTCCAGTTATTGCTAAAAAGCTTCACTTTGCCTTCCTCAAATTTATATTAAAAATAAAATTTCCTTAGCAGTGAGTCCTACAAGACCTTTTTTTCCCCTAGGTGGATGGTCAGACATTCAATACCAGACAGTGAGTTTAACAAGCCAGTATACTACCTAAATTATATGATATACTAAAACAGCTTCATTTGGTGCATCAGTTAGCATTCTACAGTGCAGAGAGTAGATCTTACCATTTGTAAGACAGTAGCTATAAACTGTTCTTTTTTAAGCTGAGCTAAGGAGGAAAGATAAAATAGAAGGGAATACAAGGAAGAATATCTATTACAGTAGCTGGACTAAATTATCTCGGCCAGCTTCTGACAGTGT